AGTGTGACGCAGGTGTGACTACAGGAGTGACCGTGTACAGGTGTGACTGTCTACAAGTGTGACAGTGTACAGGTGTGACTACAGGAGTGACCGTGTACAGGTGTGACTGTGTACAGGTGTGACTGCAGGTGTGACTACAGGAGTGACCGTGTACAAGTGTGACTGTCTACAAGTGTGAATACAGGAGTGACCGTGTACAGATGTGACTGTGTACAGGTGTGACTGCAGGTGTGACTACAGGAGTGACCATGTACAGGTGTGACTGTGTACAGGTGTGACTGCAGGTGTGACTACAGGAGTGACCATGTACAGGTGTGACTGTGTACAGGTGTGACTGCAGGTGTGACTACAGGAGTGACCGTGTACAGGTGTGACTGTCTACAAGTGTGACAGTGTACAGGTGTGACTACAGGAGTGACCGTGTACAGGTGTGACTGTCTACAAGTGTGACTGCAGGTGTGACTACAGGAGTGACCATGTACAGGTGTGACTGTCTACAAATGTGACTGCAGGTGTGACTACAGGAGTGACCGTGTACAGGTGTGACTGTCTACAAGTGTGACAGTGTACAGGTGTGACTACAGGAGTGACCGTGTACAGGTGTGACTGTCTACAAGTGTGACTGCAGGTGTGACTACAGGAGTGACCATGTACAGGTGTGACTGTCTACAAATGTGACTGCAGGTGTGACTACAGGAGTGACCATGTACAGGTGTGACTGTCTACAAGTGTGATTGCAGGTGTGACTACAGGAGTGACCGTGTACAGGTGTGACTGTCTACAGGTGTGACAGTGTACAGGTGTGACTGTGACTTACGGGCGGATATAGAAACTTCACAAGGATGGAGGGGGGAGGGTGTTGGGGGGGGGGGGTCCCAAAATGCCAAGATGTATAAATAAGTCCCGAGATCAGCAACCTTAAATAAACATTCTCGCGTTACATCAATGAAACACCGATTTGTGGGGCGGGGGGGGGGAGGGGTATCTCTCAAGGGGGGTGATTGCCCCTCCCCCATCGCCCTCCCTCTCCGCTCCTGCTCCGAGGTGGGGGGGGGGGGGTGAGCTCGGGGGGGGGGGGGCAGGAATGAAGGGGGAGGAGGGAGGGGGGGTTAGGGGTCACTGCGACTGGTTCGCGTGACAGCGCCACACCTCGCGCGTCACGGCACCTGCCGCCTCTGACGTCACGGCCAGGTGAGACAGGTGCCGCGGGGCCCGAGGGAGGGGGTGCGGGGGATGGAGGAATTTAAAGTGGGGGCAGGGGGGGGTGAGGGAGGGAGTGGAGGGGGATGGTTTGATTTGTTGTTGAACTGGCGGGAGACAATCACGTCATTTAAAAGTACAGTGGCTGCATACACAGATGAAGATCCTTCCGTGTAGCCTTAACAGAGTGTTGGGGGTAAGTGCTGTCAGCGAGCACCTATGAAGGGGGGGGGGGGGTGGATGGCGAACAACACGCCCAGCCGCCTTTGTCTCCCCAGTGGCGACATTTACACACCGCACCAGATACTCATTTGAGGCTGAGTCGACCTAGGTGAGGACTCAGGACCGGTTCAGATAATCGCCACTGGTGTTGGCCGTGAGCGGGAATCGAACTCGGGTCGACGGGTTCGTAGCGTCGTGCGCTAACCGCTACACTATCGCTCCCCAGGACCTATACAAACACATACACACACGTGCTCAGGGCTATTAATACAGATCAGAAGAGTTCGTCCGGTGGTCCATCGCTGCTGACAGCGTAACTCTTCGTACGGCTATTTAAACAAACTGGGGGTCATGACAAGACATGCTTCAAAATGTATTTCTCATCAGGCCCCAAATGATGTGAACGAATGGTGTAAACAAATTATATAAGCAAAGTATGTAGACAAATTATGTAAACTATGATGTAAACAACTCTTGTCATCAACTATCTGGCTTCTCGTCTGTGCCATTACCCAAAACGTTATCCACTATATATATAAAAAATATATATATATTCATTTCAAGGCCACACACGGAAATTAAAGAAAATCTATTATTTAGGTATTTTACCAGGTGTGAGACCCCACTGAGTTCCGTAGCTTATTTTCAGAAGCGACCTGGCCATCACAAACGAAGCGGTGGCTTATCATCATCATCATCATCACACGCAAATGTGTCGCAGCCAAATAAATCTAAACGCGTGATGTTCATTATAAATGTGGCGGGGGGGAAAACACCGGAGGACTCGGAGTAAAAATCCACGCTCTCACGGGGAGAGAGAGAGACGCCACAAACTCCAATATAAAGCAGCTGTCAGGGTCGGGATCGAACCCACGACCTCCTGTACACCGGGCGAGGGAGTTAACATTTCGCCACCGCAGCGCCCCTGCATTTCCACCCCCCTCACCCTTCTGACCCCCCGCCCCTCGAGCCCCAGCCCCCACCTCCAAACTAAATACCCCCCCTCCTCTCTCTCCCCCCAAATAAATATCCCACCCCCTGGCGCTCACCACACACTCCGCTAATTAAACAGGAAATTAATTAGCTGGTGACTTTGCGAGGAGGTGTTAATCCCTAGGGGGATAGGACGCGGTGGTGCTGGTGGTGCTGGTGGTGGTGGGGCGGAGTGGAGGTCGCTGTAGACGCGAACACGACCGAATCCAGTTCAACACCCGTCCAAGGACGCCGAGAGAACTGCGTGGGATGAGTGCCCCACCACGTGACTCGCACCGCATGCACGCCGTGTCGCTCACGGCGACTGATCGTACTTCAGATATCACTCGCCACTGATGTTAGCCGTGGCCTGGGCATCACGTTCAGGTCGCATGGTCCATGGCGCAGTGTGCGAACCACTGCGGCCACCTCTCCCGACCTCCCGACTTGTGAAGGATAATCGCTTGATCCATCATATTTGCATGCCGGGCGTGGTGGATTTTGCGAGTCTGTGACCCAGGGCTTTGGAAAACATGGGCTGGTGGATCACTCAGAGATTTGTAAAACTCTTCGCCTCGCTGCCGTGCCGGATGACCAGAATATGGCCCTGGATGGGCTTAGCGACCCATAGAACCATCTTGGTCTATGGGTCTCAGTGTAAGTCTATGGGTCTCTATGTGAGTCTGTGGGTCTCTCTGTTAGCATGTGGGTTTCTCTGAGTTTGCGGGTTTCTTTGTCAGTCCGCGGGTCTCTTTGTTCGTCCGTGGGTCTCTGTGTGAGTTTGTGGATCTCTCTGTGAGTCTATGGGTCTCCATAGGCCCCCTGTCCATGTTTAAATCCAGGCTAAAGACCTCATTCTTCTCCTCTGCCTATGACTGGCTGGCTCTCTCCCTCCACAAGGTCCACTGCTTCTGTACAGCGACCTGATAGCCCCTCCCATTCAGACGTCATCATCGTGATGATGATCATCATCATGAACTATGATTAATCCACTGCCGGATGATGATACACATTGTATTGTGCTCCAGTAAGGGGGCGAGGAGACAGGTGAGGGGGGGGGAAGGTGAGGAGGGAGGGGCAGATGGGCCACAGGGACAGGGGGTCACGGAGGACGCACATTGATGCGTGACCCTGCGGGCTGAAGAAGAGGGTAGGAGGGGGGGGGCGATGTGGAGGAGTGTAGTTTGGGGGGGGGGTCTCTTGTCGCGGCCCGGGACCCCCAGGCAAGACGGGACTTGTTCCTGTCCCTGATTTAATTGGGAGCCACGCTCGCTGGAGCGACCCCGAAGGCAACATTCTCATCAAAGAGAAACTCATCCGCACCTCTCTCACGCTCCCCACCACCACCACCACCAGCGTGCGAACATGGACCCATTGCGAACATGGACCCATTACTCAGCAGGGTTCATAATGTTTGTGTCAGATCACTCAGGCGGCACCGCTGATGAGCTGGGTTTGAATCCGGGTTCCAGTCGCCCGTGATTTCCGGTGTAGCGAGATGATGGTCTCAGCCCGTTTGCCAATGACTGCGTAAACTGAACGCGATATTGAGAATTGCGTCCTTCGCTGTGGGTAAGGCGGGCCCTTGGACAGGGATCTCCAGAGTAGTTTTGCGATACGTGCGTCCGCGGGCCGTTCTCTAACGCGGGTCAATTCGCGAGCTCCGACGATTAACAACATAACGGTGGCTAAGAGATGTTAACTACCTCGCCTGGTATACAGGAGATCGTGGGTTCGATCCTGACCTCGACGCCTGCTGTATATTTGGAGTTTGCGTGTCTCTCTCTCTCCCTGTGGTCGCGTGGATCTTCCTCCGGTTTTTTCCCCTACACATTTAGAATCAACATCACGCGTTTAGAGCATCTGGCTGATATAAGTTTCCACATGTTGATAAGCCACTTTGTGTACCGCATTTTGCTGGCGAACCAGGGAATAAACACATTACTTACATATTTTTATATTTCCCTGAATCTATCGGGCGCCACGGTGGTGAGATGTTAACTACCTCGCCTGGTGTACAGGCGAGGTAGTTAACATCATGGGTTTGATCCTGACCCTGACGCCCGCTGCATATTTGGAGTTTGCGTGACTCTCTACCCGTGGTCGTGTGGATTTTTCTCCGGGTCCTCCGGTTTTCCCTGCACATTGAGAATCAACATCACCAAGCGTTTCGCGTCTTTGGCTGATACTATAGCTTTCAACGTGACAAGCCACTTCGTTGAGCTAGCATTAGTAGCCAGGTCGCGTCTGAAAAAAGAGCTACGTAGCTCAGTGGACCTTACCTGGTAAAATAGAAAATAGTTTAGTTTAGACACTCGGCCTGAGCCCCCCCTCCTCCCCCCGTCGCCGGGCAATGTGAGGATGAACGGCCACGTGCCCGACTGCGTCCTCGCTCCTGTGATGTCATCTTGCAGAAGAGACGCGACGTGGTGCACCGCTTACCGCGAGAGCGCTGTTGTAACGAAATATTTCAAAGCCGTGCGCAGCGCAAGCCATCACTTTGCGGGTATAACTCCCGTCACTGTTCATCTCTGTCTCTCTCTCTTTGTCTCCGGTCCCTGTCACCTGCCTCTCTCTCCATCTCTCCGTTTATCCCTCACCTCTACCTAGTCGCCGCGTGCCCCCCCCCCCCACTCCACCCCCTCCGACCTCGCCTCCTCCGCTCTCACCTCGCCAACGTAGCTGTACTTGCCGCGCAGGATGGCCCTGAAGAGGCGGCTCCTCGTCTCCTCCTCGAAGGGCATGGTCCCGCTGAGCAGGATGTAGGAGATCACGCCGATGGCCCACATGTCCACCGCCTGCGTAAACGCGCCGCGCCGACTCAGCACCTCGGGTGGCATGTACTCGGGCGTCCCGCACGCGGTCCGCACGCACGACTCCGGCCCGTCCTCGTTCTCCTCGTGCCCTCGCCCCTGGCCCTGCCCGTGGCCCTGCCCCGCTCGCACGTTGCCCGCGAGGCCGAAGTCCGTGATGAAGAGGCGCGAGTCCGCGCCCGGGTGATAGTAGAGCAAGTTCTCGGGCTTGAGGTCGCGGTGGGCGATGCCCAGCGCGTGCAGGTAGCGCGCCCCCTCGAGCAGCATGGACAGGGCCCTCGCCGCGTCGCGCTCGGTGAAGGAGCCGCGCGCGAGGATGCGATCGAAGAGCTCCCCGCCCGTGGCGAGCTCCATCACCAGGTAGGTGCGCGTCGGCGTCTCGAACACCTCGATGAGTTGCACCACGTTCGGGTGCCGAACCCGGCGCAGCACCGCCAGCTCGCAGGCGCAAGCCTCGCGGCCCTCCGTGGCCGACGTCTCCACGAGCTTGATGGCGTAGGGCTGCCTCGAGGAGCGGTGCTCGGCGCGCACCACGCTGCTGAAGCTGCCGCGGCCGATCAGCGCCTTGAGGTCGTACTTGGCGGTGACGCGCGCGTCGAATTTCGCGCGGTATTTGGCCACTTTGCGAGACGAGGGGTCGATGTACTCGCCGCCGATGTCGCCGCCGTCACCGGCCGCCGCCAACGCCGCCGCAGCTTTGAGCAGACACGGGTCATCGAACTGCTTGTCCTTGGTTCTGCCCCCCTTGGTTCTGCCCTCCTTGCTGCGCTGCTTCTCGACGCCGCTCGTCGCCGTCTTCACGAAGTCCACGTGGCCTCCCTTGGGGCAGTCGGGAAGGATCTTGCTGTGAGCGCATCCCATAGCGGCGGGGGTGCCACTGCTGCCCCCCCCTTCCCACCTCCCCCCACCCGCCCCCCCGCCCCCCTCTTCTCCTCCGCCTCCTGCACGGAGCACCCTTTCCGTTGTTACGCACGGAGCGGCGCCTCGACCCCAGCTGGGAACGTCTCCCTGCCGGCCACTCGGCCACTCGGAGCGGGGGCTCCCGGGGTTTGCCCGCTGAGAAGGCTTCGCTGTGCTCGGAGCTGCTCGCCGGCGAGACCCATGGCGTGCGACGTGGGGTGGGGGGGTCTCTCGTCTCGGCTTCCTCCTCACAGACCCCCTCGACTCCCGCCCCCTGCCACAGCAGCCGCCGCCTCCAGACACGCTCCACTCGACGACTCGTCTCCCTGTCACGCGCGCGAGTGCGCGTGTCTCTCGCTCACCACGGCTGTCTCTGCGTGTGTCTCTCTATCCCTGTGTGTGCGTCTGTCTCTGTGTGTGTGTGTGTCTCTCCCTCGCCACTGCTTTCTGTGTGTGTGTCTCTGCGTGCGCGTGTCTGTGTGTGTCTCTCTCTCCCTCCCTCCCCACTGTTTTCCCTGTCTCTTGTGTGTGTGCGCGTGTCTCTCTCGCTCGCTGTCTGTGTCTCTGCGTGTGTCTCTCTATCCCTGTGTGTGTCTCTGTGTGTGTGTGTCTCTCTCTCTCCCTCCCTCCCCACTGTTTTCCCTGTCTCTTGTATGTGCGCGCGTGTCTCTCTCGCTCGCTGTCTGTGTCTCTGTCTCTGCGTGTGTCTCTCTATCTCTGTGTGTGTCTCTGTGTGTGTGTGTCTCTCTCTCTCCCTCCCTCCCCACTGTTTTCCCTGTCTCTTGTATGTGCGCGCGTGTCTCTCCCGCTCGCTGTCTGTGTCTCCCAAGATCGGAGGAGGGGATTTAAGGCGAGGACTCCCCGGTGGGAAGCCGCCACGCTCGCCTGCCCCCCTCGCCTCTCACGTGCCTCCCCCCCCAACCCCTATCGTGTCGCGACCGTGCCGCATGTAAACACAATCCCTGGCGCGTACCTGGCGCGACATTGGTTGCGTGACGGAATGCGTGCACGGTCACGCAAAGGACGCGTGGCGGCCGGAGAGGGGAGGGGCAAGAGGGCGGGGGGGGGCGGGGCTCAGAACAATAGAACAACTCCTAAGGGGAGGGGGGGTGGTTGCATCACCGTAGTCGCTGTCTTTGTAATCATCACGATCGTCGTTGTGATCAACATCGTAATGATCATCGTCACCATGGATCACCCACCCACCATTGGTTCTCGTCTTCATTGATCTTGCCGCACCTCACCGTGCTTCCACGTTGCTCTCGAACCTCTTTCCTCACCCTCACCACAATCCCCACCACTCACCCGCTCGATCGCACTTCATTACCGTCCCCATACCCTGGCTGGCTCGCCGGGGAAAAAGGCAGCCCAGCAACGTGTAGACTAATCTCCATCTGTTTCCATCTGTAAAGGATGGAGTGTCGCCCCGGTTTCTTCCCACGTGTATAATACTACGACTAATAAACGCAACTCACCCATTGGCTGAGCACAACGTTACAAATACCAACTCGATACAGGACCCTCCTGAACGTGAGTACTGGCGCTCAGTGTGGCTTCCCTGGATCGATAAATAAAGACCGATGTTATATTATTAATTTGTAACGGATACGCCTTTCGTTGATTGAAATAATGGGAGGCCAGGGGAAACCAAAGGCAATTGTGAAGGTTTACCAGAACCGACGCGACCAACAATTGCCCAAGTTCTGTGATCCTACATTGGGGATGGTCGGCCAACTCCAAAAGATGAGTCTTGAATCTCAGTGAGGCTTTGCGAGGTACATGCGATCTGTTGCTGCAGAACACCGCGTTATGGTAAAATCGCGTTACAATGAAGCAATAAATAATATAGGGTCAGGGCACAGTCCGCGATAACACGCGAGATGGGTACGTAGGCTGAACAAAGCCTCAGGCGTGTGGGTATCATCTAGAAGCATCCAGCAGCATCCCATTGCCTTGTGCGATGATACGGCGAGGCAGCCGTACCACCGCTTATTGCTACTCGCGCGGCGTAGTTCTGTTCACACTCAATCGCGTTTTATCCAATTCGCGTTTTAAAAACACGCGGCGTTGTGGGAGAACTCACTGTAATTGGCGTCCTAATAATCGTGTTTAAAATTTTAGGAGAGTCATGCAAACAATGTTTGATAAGCCACGCTATCTCCTAGTCCACAAAGAGGTTGGTTCTCGTTGAGGTGAGGCGGATTTGTGTAGACGGGACCGAGGAAATGTCAATGTGCAATAACTCTGCGCCCGTCTGCGGAGAGATGGTCAGAGGCGGGACGATTGATTAATTATTGGACTGAGTTGATTAATCGACGAAGAACTGTAATCAAGATTTTTGTGTCCCTGTTCAAAGTTATAATCATCGTGCCGAGGCAATCAAAATAAAGGACGATAGGATCGCGGCGTAGTATACTCAGCTCAGACCAAGACTATATAATATTCTATGGGTCTTTCGGTAAAGCCACGCAGGTGAAGACGATTGCTTCAGGTGATAGACGATTACTTGTGTTGCGATCGAAACGTCCTGATATTTGTATTGTTTTTCTATCTACGTGGATTTACCGAAAGACCCATAGAATATGTATTCCTGCAGTCACGAAAGCTTTAAGTCAAGATTCAAGGCTTTAATGTCCATAGTTAAGTAATAAAACTAAGTATTAAACTAAAACCTATGTTTTTCATTTACCAGGTAAGTCCCACTCAGCTATTGTAGCTCTTTGTCAGAAGTCACCTGACCACAAATGATAGCTCAACGAAATGGCTTATCACGTGGAAATGTATTATCAGCCAAATACTCTAAATGCATGAATGCTGATTCTAAATGTGGAGGGAAACCCCGGAGGAGCTAGAGAGAAATCCAAGCGACCACGGGGAGAGCGAGAGAGACACGCAGACTCCAAATATACAGCTGCAGGCGTCGGGGTCAGGATCGACCCCACAACCTCCTGTATACCTGGCGAGGGAGTTAACATCTCCTAGCCACCGCTGCGAAATCAAGGACAAGATGAAGCAGAGTCGTGTCGAGGGTGTCAACTGCCTTGCCTGTCTACAGGAGGTTATTGGTTGAGCTATTGTTTGTGGCCAATTCGCTTCTGAAAAATAAACTATATATCTCAGTGGGCCTTAAATTGGTTAACAGTTCTGTAGTTGTACTCAGCAGAGGCCAAGGTTGATAATAATGATCGTGCCGTCGCCGGGTGCGGACTGAAATTCCTCCGCCTGTCAATAGGCGTCTCTCGCGAGCAGACCGGCTGCCGAGGTTTTGGTGCCGACACGGCTCCGTGAAATCGAGGTTTTAGGATTGGATCGCGTAATAAAATGTGTCGTGAAACCCGCCACCACCCGCCACAGCAAACGAGTAAGGTCCGTCACGTAAAGAAAACGCGCCGATTCGCTACTGGTCCAGCACACCGGTGCGTTGGAGAGTAAACCCATTGCAACAATTTACGATTCGAGTACGACGTTTCGCCGGTAATTACAACAACCAGCACCATCGGGCGGGCAGACCAAAGTTGTGGAGAAATCCTCATCCTGCTTCGGTCTTAACGAGAGGGATCGGGGAGATGTCGTCACTTGTGAGACAATCAGGTGCGGAAGGCCAGAGGGGGAGCTAATGTGTGCATATAAATCGCACTGGATATCCATTACCGGTTAATATCTGCATGGGTTAACTCTCCAACGCACCGGTGTGCTGTACTAGTAACGAATTGTGCATGCTTTGTTCACGTGACAACCCTAACTAATTGGCTGTGACGGGTGGTGGCGGGTTTAACGACACATTTAACCCTAAAACACCTCCATTACGGATGATATTGGTCGCGGAAGCGCCTGCTTGCTTGCTGCTGCTGCGTGTTCAGTGAAACCGACTCCGTGATGACAGTGAACACGCGAGCAAGGGCTGGAGCCGGCCAGGGGTGGGGGAGGGGTGGGGTAGGGAGGGGTGGGGGGCCTTGCCACCGCGTGGGGAGGGAACCGGAGAGTTCGGAGAAAGTCCCAGGGACGCTGCATGACGAAGGGGGGCGGGGGGGGGTGACACCGCGAAGTCCGTCAACCCCGGCGGGTTCACGAACCCACGTGCTGCTGCTGCTGCTGCGCCGTCATTGCATCCCAGCCACGTGGGTTTTTGAGAGCTGCACGAAATCTCTGCGTGATCCACCAACCCTTGGGGGGGGAGGAGGGCGGCGTTTTGTGTGGGGTGTCTCACGACAACTCGAGCAACGTTCACGTGCCGGGTCCCTGCAGTGCCACACTGTAAGCACAGTTCGCAACAGATGCAGGGGCAAGTTAGGAGGTGAGGTGGGGGGGTTAAAGGGAGAGAGGAGGGGCAACCCCCCCCTCCCCCCCGGCATTGTCCCCCGTGAGCCCTGTTCTCGTATTGCCAGACCAGATGAATACAAACCTTCGTGCTAAAGGAATAACAGGCCGATAAACTAAAAACTAAACTATTTTTTTTATTTTACAAGGTAGGGCTCATTGAGCTCTAGGGGCTATTTTTCAGAAGCGACCTGACCGCAAATGATGGCTCAATAAAGTGGCTTATCGCGTGGAAATTTATAGCGGGCAAATTCCTCGAGACGCCTGGCGTTGATTCTAAATGTGGAGGGGAAAAACCCGAGGAATCGGAGAAAAAACCACGCGACCATGGGGAGAGAGAGACCACAAACTCCAAATAAACAGCGGGCGTCAGGGGTCGGGATCGAACCCACGCTGTTCAAAACCACCTCTCCTGTACACCAGGCCGGGGTAGTTAACGTCTCACCACCGCGGCGCCCGATACATTCAGGGAAATATAAATATATACGTTATGTGTGTCTACCCTGGCTCGCCAGGAAAAGGCGGTACACCAAAACTGTGGACTCCATCTGTTCCGTTTACACGGGATAGAGTGTTTCCCCCTCGCACGGACGTTTGGATTTTCTCCGGATGCTCTGGCTTCCTCCCGCACGTATAAGCTCTCATTCATTTG